GTGTCTAAACCCTCTTTTCATCATCTTTTGTGCGTTTTTGTGATTGGGGGTGTGCCGGGGAACGAATCAATGCTGCTTCTCAGTACATCGACTTTTGGCAAAAGTGGGCTTAGTATTTCCCGGGTGACCAACAAAACCATTTCATGTCCCTGCCAGGTGTGAGCTGACTTGTGAGTGCAATAAAAATGGTCAAATTACATGTCTAATCAAAGCAAATGGTTTTCCCGATGACTTAGAACCAGTATCTTCAGTGGCAGGATAAAAGCTAAGCTGGCTGTCACTAGCTCACTGCAGGGTACATTAGTCCGAGGCTTTTACAAGTTAGAATTGCTATAAGGAACATGTAGTACCGGGCTGGCTGATCTACCTGACCTAGATAATATTTAGGTGTTAGAGAAAACGTTTTTGGATTTAGCTGAATTGTAAAAAAACACTTTAGAAGTTAAAACAGTGGCCGCCTGAACTCAGACTGGTTTCCTGTTGCTCTCAGCCTCGAGTCAGAGCTCAGAGAGTTTATTTCTGCAAGGAGGAGTTCTGCTGACAGGTTCGTGTTTGTTGATGTTTGGAAGTGGGAGGTGAAACTAGTTTAGCTACAGAAACTGGGTGCTGAGCAAGCCAAGGTGGCCTCAGAGATTTGTCACCTTCCTCAGTCCTTCCAGGTAATCTTTAAACTGGTCAGAGTGGGGAATAAAGTGATAGTAATTCCTGGATCAGCCTCGTCTTCCCAGCTCTCAGGTGGTTCTTTGATCAGAGGAGTGACATACCACTTTACATGCAAGTGGAACAAATGACACGTTTTTGAAAACTAGAAAAAGCTGCTCAGCACAATAAACAGAGATCACAACCATTCAAAATTACTCTTCTCAGCTGGCAGATGGAGCAGGCGAAAAATCCGTCTCTTTGTAAATGTGAGCAAAGATTGTATTTCAGAAAGGAGAGAAGCATCCTGTGGCAGTCGCCGAGTGACTTACTACGGATGGCATGATTAAATTTTCATTATTCTATGTTGTAAAGTCTGCTGGGGAATGGAAAACTTAAGAATCAGTAGAAAAAGTAGTAGTAGTGTCATACGGAAGGGAATAAGCCTGCCATTCGTCTCCAGCTAAATGAAAGTACACCATTCACAAAAAGGGGGAGAAGAGTTTTATTTTCTTCACTTTAGAAACCAAACACATGGACAGAAATCTGCCTTTACCATTGCAGGTAGCTGAAAGACCATACTTATTAAGAGGTTTTGTCTTGATGCTTTCTTTTAATTAAAGGCAAGAACTGTTGCTGCTTCTCACATAAAGCCTGTAGTAGCTGAGTGGTGGTGGTACAACCGACGCCAGTCTGGTTTAGCATCATTATAAGGGATCGAGAGTTAAGGGATTTCATTCACTGGCAACCTCCTTGTTTTTCTGCCTTGCCCCGATGTGTGTTAGCTAAGAGAACATTTATGCTTAAAGGACTTCTCTGTAATTTTCTTTTGTGATTTAATCTTTAATAATTATATCAAAACTTAAGTATATGCAAAATTTTTTTCTTCTAAGACTATGCTAGTACTTTAAGGTTTTAAAATACTTTCAGATACAGATGTAAATCCCATTTCTTTTACATTATCCAATTGCAACTTCTAGTAATGATAACATGGCAGAATACTATCTGTCCTATACGCTACGCAAAAGCAGTTTCATGTCGTTGTAAATTCTTTAAGATTTTAATCTTCAGTTGCAGAGTATGGACAATCTTGTGGGACCATTTTTACAAAGTCTCGCTTAGCAATACAAAACAACTCCTCTGATACAGTAACTCTCTTGGCAAACAAGAAAATGTGTTTGCACAGCCCAAAAAATCAAACAATAACTTACCGTAGTGTTTGTTGTACAGTATGGCATGGGACAACTGGGAGCAGATATTCATTCTCCATTCCTTACCTATAAAGGGCGGTATCTCCCAGTGTTAGTATCAACATTGTCAGCTGCAAATGCAGATATGCTGTCAAATTTCATACTGTTTTTAATACTTTTGATATTTTAAATATTCCTTCCTAAACAGTATTAGGTTAATTATCCAAGGCTGCTTTTTGTTAATTGTGCAGTGAAGTACTTTTGACAGAACACTAATATTCCCAGAGCTTGGGTATGAACAGATGCAGAGGCACATCCTTTTCTACCAAGTCTCCAAATGTTTTTTTTCAGTCGGGGAAAAAAAAAAAAAAGTGAGTGTATTGTAGATGGTGCCACTCTGCAGGATGAATCCTTCATGTGTCATTTTAATTACAGGGGAAACATGAAAAGCAAAATTATTTGTTGCATCCAGTGCTTTATATGAATTGCAATGGACTGAGCTTTTGTACTTCTGCATCTGCTGTTTCATATTTTAAAATGTCTTTGCAATAAAACCTTTCTTTCCACAAAGGCTGTCCTTAAAAGCTATTCCAGCCTAGATTCTCTGATCCACGCTGTTTGCGTGCTGCAGTCGACCATGAGAAACTGTGAAACGTCTGCCTAGACTACTATAACCCCTTTGCAACATTGCTGCCTGTCCGCTGCTTCCTCATGCAAAATTATGACTCCTTTTGTTCTTGGAAATGCAGTACCTCTTCTTCCTTTAAAAAGCACCTCTAGGCTGATGGCAATGACGTCATTCTCACAAGCTGTCGTTGTAGTGATGCTGATAAGGCTTGGCTGGTGAAGAGTGTGAAGCTTTAGTCAGCTCAGAGTCACCCAGCCCTGCGGCTGTGTTGCAGGGATAGCCAAGGGGACTGTCCCTCGCAGCCTGGGGTCTTCCTCCAGCTAGGGGTCATTGAGGTTAGATGAAAATTGCTGGGAGTTGTAATGAGGCCTCCATCTCAAAACTTTATGATCGGTTGAAGAACATCTGGCTCACATAGTAGTCACTGAACAATTTTAATAAAAAGTATTAGCACCCACATGCAGCAAGGGTTTGCTCCCTATATAGATTTTTTTTCCCATTCTCTTTTTTATTTGTTTTTTCCAAATCTCAGCTACAAATGTAAAAGCAGAAGCCTGGAATAACAGCAGGCTTACTCTAGCAGGCAAAGTCTCAAAACGTGGATTTGGCTACATGTTTGTGTTTTGGGGATGTGGTCTCTGCACAACCTCTGCACAATCTCTTTCTTCTTGAGATTTCAGGTTAGCTCTTAGGATTTCAAGTTGAATTTGACATTGAAGAGAATATTTAATTGTTACATTCCTTGGTATTGCCTTAATTGCTTGACTGAGCCAATGTAGTGCAGAAAATACAAATAAAATAAGGCATGCACCTGTGAATTACAAGGAGTGGGTAATGACCTGGGGCCACGTTGTTACGTGGATTTTGTGAGTTATTTGCAGGGTCAGAAATGACAAGCACTCTGGGAAGATGTGGAAAGGAGTGAGCAGGGGGCTCCTTCAGAGCCCTGCCTGGTTCATGAGTCATTTGTCCCTTTTTCTCCTCCCAGGTGCTGTGCTCTCTTTTGCTTGCCATGACTCCTGCCAAGCATGGTGCCAGATCATCAACGTGTCTGAATCCCACTCATCTCCCCTCGCCTTTATGAATGGGACTCTCAATGAAACAAATCGGAGCATTTCCACGCCTGCTGGAAGCAAATATCGCCTCTATGTTGGCTTGGCTTTGGCAATAAGTTCTAGTATCTTTATTGGTTCTAGTTTCATACTGAAGAAGAAAGGACTTTTGAAACTGGCAGTCAAAGGAGTCCCCCGAGCTGGTAAGCGGTGGTGCCCGCCTTGCTCCTGCTGGAGACACAAACGCCTCTGTTATAACTTGGCAAAATCAAGGTTCGAGTCACAGATCACACATTGAAAACCATCATGGTTGAAAACCATTGTACTTTAATGGTGATCGGAAGTCCTGTCTTGGCTAGGGATGGAAATACGGTGTGATTACAAGGACTGAGATTTCAGAATTCTTAGGGCTATGGGGGCAGCGGTGGGCATTAAATGTAGTGAGCTGGTGATATTTCCTTCTTGATGGTAGTTAGATACCAAAGCAAGTTCTCCCTTTGTCTTGCCCTTCAAAATGCATCTCTCTCTCTTTTTTCCCATCTTGAGATGGAAAGTCTTAAGATTTAGTTATTTTTTTAAAAAAAGGAAGTACAATAGTTGTTACAAAAATTCTACATTTAGTGCAACTATTCTTCCATCAAATTCAACAGATGAAGAACTAGAAAAATGTGGAGAGCTTTTAAAAAACCCATTGGACTAATCTCATAATTCCCTTTGCATGGATTTAAATGTATAGTATCAGTAGTTTTTCTTTTGTTTGTTGTGTTTATTGCAATATATTCTTTCAGGGAATCTGGTTATTTGAAAAAAAAAAAGTGTTACTAAATGTTCAGTGTACTTAGATTTTATGTAAAAAAAAAATAATGCCTGCAGTGGCATTTTTCTTTCTAATTTGTCTCAATTTGAGCTATAAGCAGAGTCAAAATGCAGCTGACTCTGTATGAATATATTGGATCTGACCTGGAAAAGCACTTTGAAGCATTTCTTAAGCTCACCAACAATCTTCATGGGCATTTTACCTTTGCTTGGAACTTTCCCTTCATGTGTATTTAGTCAAATATAATTTTTCAAAAGTCCAAGTCAAAAAGCAGTAGAGCAATTAATAAAAGTCAGTCAAAATCAAATGAAATATTCTTTATGTCACAACCAGATAACATGCTCTTTCAGTACTTTGTAGGACTAGATGCAAATGTGAAGCTGTAGTTTTGTTTATTGCAATAAGGCGATCTCTTTCTTCTAAGATGAGATGGGTTTTTTCTGTTTTCAGGACAGGGTGGATATTCTTATTTGAAGGAATGGCTCTGGTGGGCTGGATTGCTATCAAGTAAGTCACCTCTTTCCTCTCAACTGATATGTAAATGCTACATAAAGCAGATGATTGTTTTAAATAGATTTATTCCCTGATTTTTAACTCCCCTCACTTAAAAGAAATGCCTTTGCAATCACCTTTATGACAGAAGCCCTCCTGATATCCCATCTCTTAAATACGGTGTTTGCTCTTTGGAGCTTTTTGCAGCATAACCACCTTTCCTTTAATATCCAGTCAAAAGCAATGGCATGGAATCTGTCCAACTTCTAGGAGTACTTAGGGGGAAAGTGTTTAACTTTCTTCAGCCTTTATTATGTCCAGAGGGGGTTAGATAACTTTGAAAGGAAAATTTGCAAATATAGTGTAGAAAAGATTTTGCTATTTTTTTGCTATAAAATATTTTTATATTTGCTATCATCACTATCATACAAAATATTTATAATAGTATGCCTTTTATTCCACTCCCCCCACCTTCAACCTGATCCAAATGTTCTTTCCTCTGCAGTGGGATTAGGAGAAGCTGCAAACTTTGCTGCCTATGCCTTTGCGCCTGCAACCTTAGTTACCCCCTTGGGTGCGCTGAGTGTTCTCATAAGGTTAGTACAAACTGGAAGCAAACCTTGACAAACGAACTGTTCACTGACTGAGGAAAAAACAATCTCTTTGGCTGAAAGTAGAGAATTTTAATAAGAAAACTGAAAAGCAATATATTGGCAAAACATGCTTGTTCGTTCCATGGTGGGAAGATCCCTTGCTTATTTAGAACTGAGTTTTCTGGGTAGGGGAAATGAGAAGTCTTATTCCAAAGACTAATATATGCTTTCCCAACAACCTTCCACCTATATTATAAAGTATTTTTTATCAGTGTATGCCAAGTATACTGCTAATGCACAGTGGTAGAAGGCTGTAATTCATCTCTTCCTAGACAACTGAAGCTTTCTTAAAAAGTCTTATCCTGTTCTTCAGTTGTGACAAAACTTTAAAAGAAAATACAGTATTTCCCCATTAAAATGTTTTCAAATATGTTTCTTCTTTATAAGAGCATAATTTCATATTAAGGCACACTTAGTAAGCATTTTGGGATTGTTTGGTCTTTTCCAGGTCCTTCTGGAAAGAAGGCAAAGAAAATTTTAGCTTTTTTTAATATCGGCAGTTTAAATCTGTGGTTCTTTTGAAACATGAATGCCCTTCAATGACTCATTATTTCCTATGTATGAAGAAACAAATAATTGCCAAGTACTTTAGCATACACATTAATATGGCTATCACAGAAACAGAAAAGACATGGATTATGCTTACAACAACATTCAGGGAAATAATTTGTTAGCCAAACGGAATTATTGTATTTTAAATGTAAAACTCTTATTTTTAAGACCTGAGTATACTGTATGAAACATTGTGTTTAAAACCAACCTAGGCCACGTTTTTTGTGGGTTTTAGGGTTTTTTAAAAGATGCTTGCAGTAATCTAACTGCTAAAAATGCAGCCATTCTGTCATAGCAAAACCAGCATAACTGTCACCTACAGATGTGCTGGGATCAGCGTGTAGGTAGATGCAGACTAACTGTCTGCCTGACTGCTGCTTCGCAAAACAGCCTGAGTTTTAACGCTCTCTCCTTTGATGTGAATAGCAATCTTTCGTGAAACAGAGAGGTTGTGAGAACTTCATGTCAGTGATCTTGTTACCCTTGGGCAAAAAAATAGCTGTATTTTGATCAGTGGGTTGAAAAACTATTTGTGAGCGTGTCTACACGTTGTTAAGCCTGTGTCTGTGCCTGAAGTTGTGCTCTAGCTGGCTAATCGTGTGCCCTGTGAGGTGGCCTCATTTGGGGCATGTTATTATCCTTAAGTTAAATTTTGAACCCCTTGGAGGGCCTGGCATCAGGCTCTTTGAAGGGACAGGTGTGCCTTCTCCGTGTTTTTGGGGGGAGTCCTGGCAAGCTGGGCAGAAACTGTGCCTGGATGGGAGAGCCCAGGAAGGAATGAACAGTTTCCAAAACTTGTGTGCATTGGTTCAAATGGCAAATGAAGTGCTTTAAACCATTTTTGGAAGAAAATAACAGCTCGCGTGATCAATCTACAGGTGTGTGAGAGTGCATACGCCTGACCCAGGCAATCAGTAATGAGAAGTTCCTTGAGCAATTCGGATGCTTTACAACCTGGAGGGGAGGGATCAAGGTTGCTAACCCCACTAAAGCCTGACCTGGCCTTCTTGGTCCTGACCAGCCTTCCTGCAAAACTCCTTAAAATTTGATTGTTTCAGGCTGGTCTCCCATGTATCCAAATTAAAAAGAGGTTTTGAATTATTATCATGTTACACAGAAAGATTTTCAATGTCTCGTGTGGCTGGTGGAGCTGAACCTTTTATTTATAATTTGCCAAACAGTGCTATATTGTCATCCTATTTTTTAAATGAGAAGCTGAATATTCATGGGAAGCTGGGCTGTGTACTGAGCATTTTGGGATCAACGGTCATGGTTATTCACGCCCCTGAGGAGGAGGAGGTCACCTCACTAGATGAGATGGAAAGAAAGCTGCAAGATCCAGGTTTGTACGCAATTGCAATGAACTTCTTCTACAGTTCATAGAGAAGTGTTTGGGACACTGAATAACTTTTAGCATGTACTTGGACGTAGTATGGTAATTTCTCTCATGCACATTTTCCTTCTTCCCTTCCCTCTTTCTTACAGCGTTTGTTACGTTTGCTGTTCTCCTAACAGTTGTTGCCCTCATGTTGATTTTTATCATGGCTCCAAGGAAAGGTCAGACAAATATACTGATCTACATTTTAATTTGCTCACTCATTGGTGCCTTCTCCGTCTCATCTGTGAAAGGCCTGGGCATTGCCATTAAACAAATGCTGGAGCGGAAGCCAGTTTATCGACATCCATTGGTTTACGTTTTGGTGGGCATCTTAGTGCTCTCCGTCAGCACTCAGATCAACTATCTCAACAAAGCATTGGACATGTTCAATACATCTCTAGTAACACCTATTTATTATGTGTGTTTCACCACAACAGTTGTGACATGCTCCATCATCCTGTTCAAGGAGTGGAGCAGTATGGACCTGGGTGATATCATTGGAACCCTGAGTGGATTCTGCAGTATCATCATAGGCATTTTTCTATTGCACGCTTTTAAAAATACTAATATCACCTGGAGTCAGTTGATGTCTACTGTTGCCAAAGAACCATCATTACCACACCATGAATATGAAACCTGTCACACTTTACTGGAGAGTATGGAAGACCCAGCTTTGCTGTATGAGGAGGACAATGTTTTATTCAGTCAATGAAACTCTCGGACAGTGTTCATCATTGAAGTATCATGAATTGCAGGCTCAGCCCACCTCTGTCTACCAGAATGCTCTTTTCTGCAATCTTCTGGAAAACTGTAAGACCAGTTAAGTCTGGGCCACTCCTCTGTGCCAGCTGTTGGTAGTAATGAATGAAAATGTTCAATAATTAACATGACAGACAGAAACCTGATGGTTACTGTATGTCAGGCAATGAACAACCTTGTCCTTTTTTCATGCAGTATCTCCTATTGGAGAATTTTAGCAGAAAAGGATGGTCTTTGTAAGCTATGTTTGCAAAGTACAATTCTCCTATCATGATAAAAGATAATCCTTGCTGAAATGACAAGTACTCTGTTATTATCTTAGTGATGGCCTTAATATTTCAGGCTTTCTCTATATTTTTATAATTTATTGTCATACAAACTTGTAGATATTCTACCTGAAGGATATTCATTGGAGATATAATATGAAGAAGATATTGTTTAACCCTTTTAGCTTTTAATATAAAATTTTATGCAAATTTTCTTCATTTTTGATGACCTACCAATGAATCTCAAATAAAAGTCACCAAAAAATTCATGAAATGTGGTTCTTGGTAACCGTTCTCCTTCAAAACCCATTTTTAACAGCAAAGTCTTAGCTCTTCTACCTTAGGAGGCCTGAATGGATTACAAATCCCTGGACGTGCACGTACCTTTTTATTTCAAAACTATGACCAAGTTACATTGTAAGAAAATGCAAATTCATCAGAGGCCTGAATATAGTTGCTATTGGCTTAAAAAATTACATGAGATAAAAGAATAAATTATTCAAAGGCAGAAGAAAAACAGAATGTGCATTTAAGAATTTCCACTCTGTTTTATACTACTTTGAGGCTTAAGAAGGGGCTTTACTTATTTCCATACTTCTTCCTAATGTTTCAATCTATTCATCAAAACCCATTTAAACTTTTCAAATTTTTTTTCTCATTTTCTGGAAAGATATAGTTGTTTCTTAATAGCAAAACAGTCCTGTTATTTTATATTCCGTTATAAAAGCAAAGTGCATTTTCCACTCCGTGCGCTATTTCTAAAAAGACTAGGTAAAGGAAGGGCTGTAAACAAGGGGTAAGAAACATCAAAACATCTTTTCTTTTAGTTTGGCCTTTTCATCTTTTCTAAAAATGAGTATTCACCTCTATTAGATGTTTTAGCTATTAATCCACCATAGGCCATGAAGATTATTATCTGTACCACAGTATGCTCCTCACTTGTGGTCACTGATCTTTGTCTCATGAAAACAGCTTGCACAGTCCATGGTTTACTCATTACAATCCCCTTTGTTGCCACTTTGTGAGCAAAAAAGTAGCTTCAGCAATCAATCAGATGTGGGGGTCATGACAAGCTCTTCAGAAAGGTAGGATTTCCAGTTCTGGGCTTTTTAAGTGTGAGTCCAGAACCTTTGCCAGAAGTTGCTGGCATTTCAGTGATTAAAAACTGGTATTAATAGCTGAGATTTATATGCCAAGCAGAACGTCCTCATGAAGCAGGCTGTACATTCTCTAACGTGCAAAGAGTGTAGTAGAAGTGGACACTTTGGATGGATAGCAAATTGTTCTGTGAAAGAAATCTTGTAATTTAGCTGTAAGATCAAAAGTGTTGCCACTGATATTTCATACATGTTTGTGTTGTGCAAAGTCTAAGTACTTCCTTTTTGAAAGATGTTCATGAAACATCTCACTTTTAATGATTTTTAATGATGCTTTAGAAGCTATCAAAAACTAGAAAGTAACACCAGGGATACTAGCTTAAAGCTATTTCTAAATTACAAGCACCTTTTTTTTTCACGTGGCTAGATTTGTAGTTGACATACCTACAGTAAGAGGTAGAAATTGTACCAATCACTTGCACCTTATTTCTAAACCCTCATTTTTACAAAGAAAAGCATATCTGAAAAATGTGATACTGAAAAGCGTGTCCAGTTCTTCTGCTCACAGTGCTTTATAAAATATTGAAGGTAACCTTGCCAATGTAAAGAAGAGCCCAGAAGATGTCATTAGGCAATGGGTATTGAGGTTATCATCACCTGTGATTACCTAATTTGAGAAGTACAGTCAGTAGTGCAGGAGGTGGCAGCAATGTTACCCCAACAAAAGAAACGTTTTGACGAAGCATGCACTTGCCTTGAAAATATACAATGTACACAGCTTAGCAATATTTTTCATCTTCCCAAGTGATGAGACTTGTAGCAATTCTTTGCTGTTAAAATATACATATTAAAAAAGCTTCAGAGAAGAAAATATATAAACAGAGTTTCATTACTTCTTAGGTAACGTAGATAATACTTTGGCTTTATCAGCCAGATTCAAGTCACAAAATCTTTATAGTTAAAACCAGATAATACAAATAATAAAAAGACTAAAGATGGTGTTTTCTGTACAGGTTGCCTTTTAACAAAAACTTGTGTTGCTTTTCACTGTGAATTACTCATACAGTTTAAAGAATAACTGAAGAAAATATTGGTTGTCCCTAAAAAGAGAAAAATAAATATTTTGCATAGCTGGTGGTCCCTCTATTTGCTTATACAGTCATCACTGTGGTGTGGCCAAATGGGTTATTTGTACAAAAAAACAACAAGTCCAATTCTTGAATGGATGTGTGTTGGCATTTTTAAAGATAGGTAGTAATACTTTCTTTGGTAAAGGTCTGGACTCTTTTTATACCAAGTCTAGACCCTTTTTATACCAACACTTGGCAATCAATTAACTTGTACCAATCAAGAATTCTGTATTTCCTACCAGACCTGCATATCTAATTTTATATACAGATAACATCTATTAGGAAAATAATATTATTTTCTTACAATATCAGAAAACTAAAGTTAACGCTTTTTTTTATGGTGTACAGGAAGTCTATAATGGTAAGAGGTAAATTATTGATTATCTTTTTGTATTGAAATCATTTGCTAAAAGAGATGTTATTTTTGAAAGTGTTTATATTTAGTAATTAATTTGGAGGAATTTTAAATTTTAATGAAATTATGCAAATATTTCTCTTGTAATAAATTATTCATGGATTATGTACTAAATGATCTATAGGTTTTAAACAAGGGATAAAATGGAGTTTAACTCATGTTTCTTGTAAGTATTTAAACACTATCTATCTAATAGATCCAAAGCGAATAATCTTGGGTTTAGCAGCTGGTCCTATGCACACAGAAGTGAATTTTAGATGAAGAAGGTCTGGCTGATGTCCTTGCAGTTCATGTCATCTGACCTGATCATGACCTGCTTTTAGTAGCTTTGAATTTTACTAGTTTTTCTGATAGGAAAGAAAATTTTCTACTGCCCTAGAAAAGCCATGTGTGAAACTACTATATATTCACCTTGAGCTAAAAAGTCTGTAATGTGATGATGGAACTGGAGGGAAGAGTATGAGGAGATCAAGAGGTTTTAGCTTCTCTTACAGAATTACCCAATTTGTCCAGATGTATTATTTTTACCCTGGTGTTCTGTAGAAAGCTTCAGCAAAGAACATTTAATGCTGATGATGAATAGTCAAAATACATGGATTTTGAGGGACAAAATTAACAGGCAAGTGAAAATGCTTTCCATTCTAAACTAGGGAAGAAAATCCAAAGCTGATGCATTAGGCATCTCTTTCTCATGGCTAGTCTCAATGGAGAGTATTTCAGCGAGCTGTCAGGTTTTCCAGGCAGTGGAAGGATATTATGTAAAGTAATTTTAAGTATTTTGGACAGTAGAGGGAATGGTTAAGGACTAGAACAAAGAAAACTTCAGAGGCAATACATTGCTAACCAAATTATGGCTTTTAAATGCTGATACAAAACAAATCTTGGCAGCTACTCATTACTGCTGTACCTCAGGACAAATTAATGGGCAATTAAATTCATTACATAGCTGAGTTGATTAAATGTAGGTAGGTCAAGAAGTCTTGGATAAGTTAAATAATCTGCAGGGAATTTGGAAGGAAGCACATAGGTTATTAGCTTCTACAGAAACCTGTTCTACCATCGTCCTTTACGTGCCTTCCTTTAAGCCACTCTTACAATAGCCATGCTATAAAAGAAAATTTCATCCCAAAGAGTGCAGATTCAAAACTTCAACCTCTTTACTCATCATGATTGCGTCCTGGAGCTATATGGGGAATTACATACTCGTAGCAAACACTATTCTCTTACTGTTTAAATTACAAGAAAACAAAACTGGCAAGTGTGTTAGAAAATACTCTTTTAGCGGCACGGGTTTCCCATAGCTGACTCCTTCCTGGCAGGTTTAAAGTGGTGCTGAGGTTTGGAACAGGACGGGGAGGCTGAGCCGGGAGGGAGCCAGACTGGTGGTGCGTGAGGGAGGAGCGGCGCTTGGGATGTCTGCAAGGCCTCCCTGGTTGTGAACTTTATAGACAGGGGTAAAAAAAAAGTTAGTATTGAAAGCCAAATGGTACTGGAAATAAAGGTCACCAGACTCATACACACAAGTAACTGACCTCTGCTGCTTCTCAGGAATACTTTTGATGAGGGAAGTAATTTCATTTTCTGAAAATACATTCCATTTTGTCAACAGTGCAGCTTTTTTATAGAAAAGAGATAGAAGCAGCTGACACACAGAGGCTGGGAATCCTGACTTTTTTTTCCACAATACTGACTTGCTGCAAGTTTTCTGACGTTTGATCAGGAAAGAGCAACTGAAGTTTTACAAATGCTGAGTGCTCATACAGCCTATGGCTAGACATTCGCTGTGTGAGAGTGGTATAGTGTCTCCTTCTAACCTTTACTGCTCTTCCAGGTCCCTCTTTTATCACACAAAGGTTTTAAAAAAAAGCAGCTAACAGACATCCATTTGCCCACACGTGCCTCTATGTTCAGTGACACAGGTGGCATTCACTGTTCACCAGTATAAGCATTTTTATTTTTGCCTGTTTGAATATAGTTAGAGTTTGAGCTATGCTCAGAGACACCATGAGGACTAAGGTGGCCTACTTAGTCTTTATTTATGGGTGTAGCTGTTTTGGTAAGTAAATACGCTGTAGATACCTGACCTTTGTCCTGTAGACCTTTCTTGTTGCTGATTAAGCACTGGTTTCACTGACTCTGAAGCATGTTATAGTGCTTTTTCATTTATTTACTGTCAGGCCTGACAATAGCAGCTGTTAAATTTATCTGCGTCAGAGTACTAATAACAGCCTACTCATAATTTTCCCAAAGCAGCCTACAGAAAGATTACATTGAGAAGCTGAAGGCTTGGTAGGCAAGCATCATTGGCTCTGTGTGTTAGACCAACATGTTTCAATGATGGATGTGCACTCACCTTGGGACAACACAGTGAAACGAGCATGAGTGGGGTGCTTTGAGTACCTAAACCTACCGGAGCTTTTTATTGCATGGTACTGTAGTGTATTACATATTAACTTGCAGTAATAAATGTGGCAAAACCAGTTTTACAAGAGCTATTAAAAAAGATGCCTCATATATTATTCATAGTCCCCGTGTACTTTTAAATTGCAGAGGCAGTTTGAATTTCACATTTGTAGCTCATCATCTGCTGAAAAGCCTGGTACTTCTGTGGCCTGGGCATAAAGTTGTGGTGAGCTCAATGTGTGGTACTGTGTTGTATAGATCTGTGTTTAGTCATAGGTCTGATAAGGAACTGAATGCCCATAAATGAGTCAATTATAAAAGTAAACAGTGACATCAGTTGGTGGCAATTCTTCTAGCAGATTATATGAAATGATACAGATATCATGGTTCACTTGAAGCAGAAATGTCTTAAAAGTGTGTTTGAAGGTACTCCCAAATGTTCAAACAGTAAGATTAAGAACTTCCTTTCCCAAGGGATGATAACTATCAAAATACTATTGCAGTAAAGCTGAGTGGCTAATGCCAGGAATGAATGTGACCCAAAGATGCCATCATCTTCTGGAAATTCAAAACTTGAGATGATTAATATATTTAATTTTATGTTTGCAGCTATTTTTAAAATTTGGAAAGGAAAAATTAAGTTGTGCAGAACTCAATCATTCTTCAGCTAGTCGGTTTTAAGTATTTTGTCTACAAAGTGCTATAAAATGAAATATTATGGTGTATTTGCCTATAAATAATTCACAATGCAATCACATATTTTTAAGAAACTATTTATTTGTAATGGTCTGATTCTATTCTATATTAAACAGTTATTAAGTCCATCTGCCTTTTCTATAATATATTTGTATCGACCACAATTAAGATTTAAAATTAAAAGTGAATAATAACATAAGAAGTAGGGTTACAGACATTGTCCGCGTCAGGTATCACAGGATCAATCTGAGCTAGACTAATTCAAAGCACTTTTTGTTTAACTGTCAGGTTCCAGCTTTAACTTGTCCGTTAACCATTCTGGACACTTGCAAGGGGAGGACTAAGGCAAGCGTGGGCGTTTGAGTTAGGCAGAGGTTTGGATAAGATGATCTTTACTCTCCACCTTTTACACAGAATTGGTAGAGAAGGCACCTAAGCCTGCGATGCAGGTTTAAAATGCTTGAGGGATGCTCAGTCTTTCCAGCTGCTCAGATGTGACTTAGGAGCTGCTAAGCGATGACTTTGCTCGCCTTTATCCACGGCAGTGGGTATGGGCACACGCGTGGGCACTGCTCCGGCTGTTGATAGTTAGCTTGCTGCCCCTTCTGAAACACTGCCCATTTCGTCAGGGCTGGATGCTTTGCAACAAAAGGGCTTGCCTTTAAACATGACCTAGCTAGAGCTTTACCAGGGGTTCTTCCATCATTTTGCTGCTGCCAATCAGCATTCCCCATTGCATGAGTCATATTAACTATAAAATAATTTAATAATATTGTTACAGGAATTAGTGTAGCTCTGACAAAAAGAATAAATAAAAAGGACTATAAGATGAGTAAGCTTGGTTACTACTCTCCAGGCAGATTTTTCTCTCTAATCATGAAAACAAAGCCTTGAGAGTCCTGAACCAGTCTCCTGAGGTATCTTTCTCAAATGAGTAAAAATTAGGCCAAGCCTGAACAGCTGCTTCAATATGTAGGATGCGGGCACTGCAGTTGAAGTGGAGACTGCTATACAAGGCTGAGGTTTTCTGTATCAGCTACGTTATTGACATGCTTAATGCTAACCTTTCAGTAAATACATTAATGTAAAATCTCCAATTAGCCCATCTCTGTTATATCTGTGAGGGTTTCTATTAATTCTGCAAAAGTAGGACGTCCTTCAGGTTTCTGAAAAGAAAAGCAGAGAATAAATTTATATTAGCAGATTGATCAGTTATGGTACCAGACTTCAGAAGCTGGTTACGAGTACATATGAGCTACCACTTAAAAACTACCTTTTATTTTAATTAATACAGAAGAAAAAAATCAAGTTCATCATTTGAAGGAAAAAAATTGTCTGTTTTTCATGGCACCAGCAGCATGACCACAGCCACTTTTCCAAGCGTTCCTAAAATTTCTTTCTATTTATTTCGATTCTGGACCAGAATTCCTATAGGATTTCTGCCCTACAACAGGTCACGGGAAAGCACTGCCTCTCAGGAAACCATGATACTCAAGAATGTTTCCTGGGCTGTTGAAAAAGGACCTTCACTGTTTTAACATTCGATGTATTGCAGCTCAGCATGGAACAAACTCCTGGGTGATGACAGACAGGAGAAGAGAAAACTTCTTCCCCATCCTCTCTCTGCTGGCTGGCATCCCAATGGATGTTTGCAGTAAGCAAGTAAGCTAGGTGCAATTTAGATTTCAGTCTCTTAAGCTCGTTGTTACTGATGGTCTAAAAATTTCATACAGAGTTAAAAGATGGGCAAGAAAGGAGAGGTAGGATAAAGGAGACAATGGCAGCAACAAGGTTCCCCAGCTACTCTCAGTGTATGCCTGCCTATTTACACAAAAGCATTGCACACCAAGCTCTTCTGAAAGTACTTTTTATCTAAAATTAAAGATGTATTTCCTGTAGACACTAGAGAAGGAGAGACCTTAAGGAAATTTCTCAGATGGAGAAGTTGATGAAGTCAATGTTTTGATATCAATATAGAAAGAAATAGGTGCTGGAGAAATGGAGAAAGAACATCAAGTACTAAATCAGAGTGGAGAGGGTGAAAGAGGTGCAGCCTAGGAGCTGTAGTGATGTACAGAGGAATTGATGTACACCTGAAGAATGTGGCTTAAAATCCACAGTTAGTGAGCACACCCACTTTGTATATGAATGTGTTAAGGTTATCATTCAGAGTAAAGCTAGAGAAAGCTATGCATGATAAGGAGGTGTGAAGAAGATATTACATTTCACGTGGTAGAAAAGCGAGGCAATAGCGGCATATTCAAAACCAGGAATGGTCCAGACCTATTGTACTGATTATATGCTTTATATTTATTAGATGCAAGAGTCAAAAGAAACAGAGGCTTGTAAACCTAGGTGTGATTTGTGAAAAGCATAGTGAGAGATACTGAGGATGCCAGAGATGTGAAATAAGGATTTAATGCCACATTTTTTAAAGATTGCTTTTAGATCCACATTACAAATTAATAATAAAGTAATATCACAGGAAAAAAAAATGGCAACAAACCTCGTGCCAGCAGCTGTACATGACTTTGTACACAGTATGTGATGCCAAATGTGGTCGATAAAGTCGGTTACCCTGAGAAATCTCACGGACAACTTCAGAATTTGACTTACTTTCGAAAGGCATTTTGCCTTCTGTGAAAACTTCCCACATCAGTACACCTAGAAGTGAACCAAAATATTTAGGACAAAACAAAAACCCCAAACCCACAAGCTGTTTAACAACATTAGAAGCAGGAAAAACACTCTTGATGTTTTGTGTATTGCATGAAAACACGGGCAACGTGAGCTAAATGGAGATAGACTACAAAAACATTTTCAACTGATACAGTTCTGCTCTCTTTTAGTCATCTAAGATGGTGGTCTGTGAAACTGAGACGAACATACATTTGGCTAATGCAGACGTACCAAGAATGCATGTTTCAGTCAAAATCTAGCATTTAGGGACAGAACTTTTCTATTAAAAACCGTACTCATCCAATATAGGCAAGATTTGAAAAATGGGAAGGACTCAAGCTTAAGATAGGTAGTATCAGTAAAAAGTTACACTTTCTTAAATCACATCAGTATTTTTAGAGAAGCACAGTATGTTGCACATTAACCTAATCAACTCACCAAATGACCAGACATCCGATTTGCTGCTGTATTTTTTGAAATGAAAGACTTCAGGAGATGACCATTTGACTGGAAACTTGGCACCTGAAGAGCTGATATATTCGTCATCAATGACATACCTAAAGAGTAACAGGAAACAGCGTATATTTTAATGATAGTTAAATGGCAAGCAGTTCTAGCAACATTTCCACAGATGGTTTATAATTCCATAAAAATAATGTGTCAATTTAGAAACAAAGAAATTATATTACTAATTGAATATAAAATGCACACAGATACCTACCCTGGAAGCTATGCACTTAAGAAGATTTCTGTTTAAATGAATAATTTAATTTGAATTGTTCATAAGTATGTTGGAAGAAAACATTTTAATACACTCTGTAAGACTGGTAGAGTGGTTGCTATTGTCATCTTCTGGGTATATATTGATAGGAAAGATCCCTGCACCATGGACAGGAAAACCAGCAGCAATAAATAATTATTGTGTCTTTTTAAAAGAGTCCACCTTTTCAACCACTTCTACCTAAACACTACTGGCAGAGGGCTACACTTTGTAACTGATGGGTGGCATCCACTGCCCAACCTCACGGATGTCATTTCTGGCATGTTACAGAAGCAACACAGAAAGAAATGTTCATCACGTACAAGGCAACAGCTGGTGCGCTGGAAAAGTAATTTTCTTTGCCCAAACTTATAAGACCTGACCTCCTAGTTAAGATGAAATCATGTGCCCGATGCAGGCATTTACAGGGCCACATTTAAAAAGGCTATTAGACTGATCCCTACCTACATACAAGCTCTGTGCATATTTTCCCAGTACTAACGTTCCCGAGCAGACGACAGATGTGCACTACACGTTTGTTCTCACAGAAGGTGTAATGCAACAGCACCTTTTAAAGCTCCTTTTAAAAGAGGTCACATTAAGAAAAATCATCTCTTCGTCTCCTTTTCTTATTTTGGTGCAGGCACAGCAAGATGAGAGGTTATTGGATAAGGAACATATGAAATAACAGTACAAAATAACCAGTAGTGGCAGTTGTGTGAGCTCTGAATAATAAGATTGTGATCCCATCACCTCTCCATGGTCTCCTCAGACCAGAGCCACACCACTGCTCTCCACTTTCTGGCAGCTGCGAGCCATTCAGGTCCGTTATTCTCAGACTAGACCATGACAGCCCTTTGGACTCCTAGTGTGTTTTCTGGTGCGATTCTGACATTATTACCCTTTTGGAGAGCAGTGCAACCAGTGGGCACTGCCATGGTATAGGACAGCCTTTTGAAAAACACGTATTTAGTTGTGAACTGTTAGGATGTTGTAATCTTTAGGATAGAAAAAGGAGGCAAAAGCCTCCCCTTTGGGTAGCAGTCGGTCATTCGATCAGCTCAGCTATACAATATAGCACATCCTCTGGGGGAAATTCTGTGAGGGCAGAGCTACATGCCTCTGGCCCGTGCTTGTCAGAGTGTGTTTTGCTCACTTTCTCCATGTTTGGCTGGTCCTCTCATTAAGCAGAAAAACCACTTCCCTGCTAGAGCAGCGCACATCACACTTCCTGCCTGCCCTGCCAGTCCTCCGTGCGTCCTGCCTGACCTTCTCAGCCATTGCCACCTCTAAAGGTCAGCACCAGCACCCAGGTCTGTACCTATGGACTTTCTATCCTCCCCGCTACTCAGAAAAGTTGAGGAACTTGCTTCTTCAAGCTTCTGGCAGCCCTGTGCACGCTCGGCATTTCTCTGTCCGTGATCTACTTCTGAAGTTTACCAGGCACTTTGTTTACCTGTCTTACATTCATCAATAGCAAGAGGAGAACATGACATATATTTCATGGTAGAACAGTTAAACAACATTATAATTTCCATCAGAATTAAAAAATTGACCGCAGTGGGATTCCCCAAATCAACGAAGCGAGCAATGAGGTTAACTTAAGGTCATGGTGCAGCTGACTAGAATAGGTACCCACTAAACCTGCGTCAATCGCCTCGTACCTCGCCATGCCAAAGTCGGATACTTTAACGATGTGCTCAGTGTTGACTAAACAGTTTCTTGCAGCCTGGGGAAAATGAGAGAAACATATCTGAAATTTGTGCTAAAGCATTTTAGGAAAAATACAACAGCTGATTATTTTTGTTTCGGCTCATACTGTTTATATTCTGAAAGGGGATGAGTGGTCTTGCTCAAAAATATAAGTGAATTTCTGGCTCAGAGCCAGTGAGCATATTTCGCTACTGTGTAGTTACACATCCATAGCATATATCAGCTTAAATGCTTGTAGTATGAGTTGCAATATTTGTACATATTCCTGCACGGTAAAAGAATTTTAGGCTGCAGAGTCTAGTTGTCCAAGCAGATATTTTCCTGAACACTAGCATTAGGACACTCAGTGTGAATTTTTAAAAATATTTTGTGACTTTTTCATGACAGAAATCAGGAACTCCTTGGAAATTTTCAAGATTTTACATTTCTTCAGGCAACTAGGGAGGAGAATGGGAAGATTTCCTCTCTGCATCCAGATGTGAGCATTGAACAAAAAGTTGAGAGTCAGGAAAGAAGCTCCTGTGCTGTGGTTCTCTCTGTATGAGGGGTAGGGCAGAAAAGCCACCCAGATATCCCACCATCAAGGTAAGGCAGTAGGGAGCAGAAAAAAGTGTAGATAGAAAAACATTTTGTTTAAAAAAAAAAATCCTCATTGTCGCTGATCTTTTGTATTGCTGTGATTTTGGCTGTGTTGTGATCACGGCATAATACTCTTGTATCGGGATGTCCTAACACCAGCCTGCTCCATGATAATATCCCAATTTTCTGACTTCTCTCAAATATCAAGTAGTTTTTCCAGCTGTCCACAGACAAACAGCTGAAAAGTTTTGGTTTACAGGCAGGAAAACACTATTGGCTTATTAGATCCTGCAGAGCTGAAGTCTTACAGGACACATTAATGTCCCATAAAATGCAGTGGCATGTTCTATGCCGCCATTATTTACTAAGAATTTCAGAAAATCTATTGTACTTACTAAATCACGGTGAATAAAGCTATTTCTTTCCAGGTATTCCATCCCTTCGCACACATCCTGGCACATGCTCAGCAGCACATCTCTGCCGAGTTTCCCTCGCCTTTGCCGAAGGTAATTGAGCAGGCAGCCGTTTTCCATGAATTCAGTCACAACGTAGAGAGGCTTGTGGTGTGTGCACACTCCATAAAGCTGGACCAGCTTCGGGTGGGAGAGTTTCCTGTTTAAAATTGCATCTTAGCCAGGCTAGCATTTGTCCTTGGCAAGTAACTAGACCTTTCTCATGATGGTTTTGGAAAATACTTTTGGTACTTGATAAACAGTATTCAGCTGGCCTCAGAGTTGTCCCACTATCTAACACATTTCTGCCTATGATTTCCCCCAAAAAGTATGCTCTTTGAATTCATAATTGTTCATTAGTTACATAAATGCAGTGAATGCAAAGCTAGATTTGGGTGATGTAAAATGGAAAGGTCTAGTTACGCCTGGCTTTCAGGCAGGGGACATGACCCTGCAAAGGTTCTTCTCTTCCGGGCTGTGCCAAGACCCAATCTGGATACTTCCCTAATTTACAAAATTAGCAGAAATTGTAATACAGTTTCTCAAAAACTTTAGTCAGGTATGAGCTCTGCCAGTGGTCCTAGAGGCACTGAATTATGGATGAAAGAATAGTTGTAGGAGCACATTAATTTATCTGTACATTTGCTCCCCATTGAGTTCCACAGCGCAAAGCAGTGCATGCTCTAAAGAAAGAGTCTGGCAATGGGCGCAGCAAGCACCTCTGTCAGTCTGATTCAGACCTTTAGATCAGCCTTTCTGTCCTGCACATCCACCATTCCCATCAAACTGGTTTGTTTTAAATGGAATTAGGTTGTATTTATTCCTTATTGGTCATTTGAATGTCAGCTGTCAGATATAATAGCTTTTGTACTTACATCATCACTTTGGCCTCCTCGATGAAATCATCTTCAGACATTGCACCTTCATTGATTGTTTTGATGGCAACCTTGATGGCTGCTTTCCATTTACCCAGCTGAACGACTCCAAACTGCCCGCGCCCAAGTTCTTTCATGAATGTTAGTTCAGATGGGTTTAATTCCCATTGCTCTAAAAAAGCAACCCAATAGGTTACAACGGTCAGGTCAGCTTTCCTGAGCCGCGCTCCAGGAGACATCCCTTGCTATTTGCAGCTAATGTGTGCAGCGAAACATCACAATTGTTCATCAGCTATAGCATGAGTTTTAAATATCTGAAAAATTCCACATGCTCATATATGTTTGCATGTAAATGTTATTTTACAGCTTGTAGGATGTGATTAGTGTTTAAATTGCTTAATGTAGGAATGTCTGAGGCTTGAAGATAACACAAGTGTTCAGCTTTGATTGCATATGAGAACTTTTTTGGCATTATCATATGTGATACTGAACTCTGAACCAGTTCGGGATGGATAGTATTGCTACAGAAATAGTTACTGGCTGACTCTATTGTAATAACCACAATAGTTCTGCCCTTCAGAAATATTAAGCCTTGAGATTAAAGGGAATATTTACAGGAAACATATACAGTTTTGGAGGTTCCTATCATCAGCCAGATGATATGAACTTCCTGATCTATATACACAAAACAGGTGTTTGTTGTTTGTTTTCTAATACTGTATAAGATTCCATTCTTGTTTCTAAAACTTGCAGAACTGACAAGGACAAATCTTCCCCATAAATAATATTCATTTCAATTTCCTAAGTATTTCAATAAATCAAATAGCCTTTGAAAAGCTATTAAATGTATATTTGAGTCTTAAGCCTGTTTAGAAAAGTCCAGATAGCTCTGAAATGCACGGGTGGTTGTAACAGAAACACAACGGTCGCTGAACAAAAGGACTCGAGTCAGGTGTCTCATTCGGTACTGACACCTTACGAGGAAATGAGTGTCTGTTTCTGGTGAATATGCGGCTGTTTATGTGTTTCTTTTTACGGGAAATTTCACAGATACAACTTAATTATTAGCCGGGTGAATGCAATTGAAGTTCTTGCCTAGGCAGATAACTAAATCTTCACCGAAAGAATACAAAAATTTACCATAACTAAATCCTGCTGTTGCTGGTGAAGAATATCCGGCTGATCCAACTGGATGTCGGAGACGAGTGATGAGACCTGTAGGAGACAAAGCAGTGATACTCTTTGACCAATTACTCCATTTTAAAGCATGCTATATTGTACCTCTTCTCATACAAAAATATCTGGAATCTGATGTACATTTTTTTATTTATTTAAGTTACTTTTGCTTATAGCTTGGTCAGATAAAACACTACAGTGAGAAGAAATGGAGGAAGCCCTGACTACAAAAGTATCTATACTTTCATACAACCAAAAATTATACTCTTGCTTGTTTGTATGATGTTAGTGATCTTAAATAAATGAGTGCTACAATACTGTATCACCCAGCTAAGCGTTCTCCTCCAGCACGATTTCGCAGAATTGTTTCCCATTGCAAGAAATATTTTTGTGTCTGTCATTCATTTTCTTTGAATTCATGAGCCACCAGTACCAGTGAGTACCTCCCTCACCGAGGATTCCCTGCGTTCATTCATTCTTCCCACTGTTACTTGCAGGTCCTTTTCTGCTTCATTTATTTCCCACAATCCTCCTCCCTCCAGCAAAAGGCTCCATCCATTCCCATATCTTCTGTCCTCACTAGTGTGAGGAATGTCTGTATGTTTTCCCATCTCCACTCGTTCATGGTACAAACATTTTATATTGTATTAAAATGATGGGCAGAACCAAGGTGAAGGACAGGTCTTTTAGTGCTAAAAAATTATAAAAGGCTGCTGTCAGCCAACGATTAGAGGTGGCTAACTCTGGTAAGCTGCAAACCAGTGTTAGAGAGTCCTTGTGCTCCCTAATTCTGCCCTTGATTTTTTTGTGGGGTGGGGTTTTTGCCAAAATCAGTAGAATGCTACCTGTTGATGCACAGCATAGCTCCTGCTTTTTTTTTTAAATTGCATGCATGCAAATCCTGGTTGTAGACAAGGAAAGAATTATGATCAAATTTCATACAAGTCTCATTCAGTCAAATATGAACCAAGAGAATACAGAGCAGGTAAATACATTACCTTCTAGCTTTGTAAAATTCATTTATTATACATAAATGAGTTTGGTAGTTTCACTTCCCCCATGGTATATGCACACTACAGCTATGACTTTGGCAGAAAGGATCATGGCCTATTTGAAGTCATTAGGAATAGAAAAACTTGTGTCTCTTTTTATAAGAGAAGTATTAGAAGAAGAGTGATTTCCAACCTCTCAAAGTCCCGAGGAGCTTCAAATCATCAGTTGTAAAACCTTATCAGCTTGTATGCCTTACCTGCAGCATTGTGTTGATGATACTCGATGAGTTCAGGAACAGATGAAAAGAGATATTTTTCTGCTACATAATATTGTCCCAAGTGGTTTTGCTTAATTTGATAATGTCGAATATCTCCACTATGACATCTGAAATAAACAAATGATTATAATTTCCAGTAAAAATAATTTATACTATAAATCTGATTAAATTTCACTTTGAAAGAAAGCATGGAAAAATCTGAAAACTTGGGGTACAGTTCTCAACTTAAAATGGCTATGTGTAGCTGGGATAGTGTCTCAGGATAAAAACCCCCACTCCTTAAGTGGATCTCTCTTCAAACTTTGGGAGATATTGCACAATGATGTTTTTTATTGCACAAGTACTGTTGCATCCATAAGAACTAGCTGTAAAATTTAGCAGATGTTCCTCCTAATTCAGCACTTATTTGAATCTAAGCTTTTAAAATTGAAATGCTCTTCATTATCTGAGTTTCCCCTCAAAAGTTAAAAGTATATTCATGTATACTATGAGATTACATTTTCTGTTCTGCTTCTCAAAAGGGTCCTCATTTGAGCTTTTATTTGCTACATTTACTTTTCTGTATTTCTCCACACTATATCTTTCTTGCTTTCTGTATATTTTGCCACTCATCTACTGCTGCTTTCTGGGAGATTCCAAATGAAGAAGTTAGGTTTGCATTTCAGGCCAGAGGTGGTTGCTGAAGGTTGGTACCCTACTGCAGAGGTGAGCCTGTGGCCATCACAGGGGGTGGCAGGGAGGGCTCGCCCCACCTTTCTGAGGCAGGGAGGGAGAGAGGAAGAGGGTGGTGGTAGCAGCGATGACTTTTTCTTGCTCCTCTCACCTCTGGCTTGCTCTAAGAGGAAGAGAAGGAAAGCAGACGCCACTGAGGTGGGAGGATGTAGGAGGGCATAAAGCAGCTCAAGAAGGGATGAGTCAGCGCTGCAGGTGATTGCTACTGATGTGGGGGAAAAGCGAGACCTGTGGCAGTCTTCTGGCAAAAGAAGTAAGACTGCACCGTGAGGAGGTGAGGTGATTTCAGGAGAAAAGCAGGAGAAGTTTGAGGACAGCAGAGTCTGGGATGAATTTACAGTGAGCAGAACCTGTGGAGAAGGGAAGCAGTTCAGTGCGGTGGCTGAAGACTGTGGTGGCATGATGTGGTAGCCGTGGCACTTCACGTAGAAAGAGAGGCAAGAAGATGCAAATGCCTGCATTGCGTGGGTGGGGTGCACACCTTTCACAGCAGACTATTTGAGAATTTCAGTGAGCGCAGTTAATCTTCGCTTGGCAGGACATTTACACCCTCGCTCCCAGATCCACTGCCCACCATCAACATTTCTGCACGTGGGGTAATTAACTCTGTGTGACCAGTGCCCCAGGGGTTCCCTGCTCCTGTGCACTGCGTGCCCAACCTACCCGCTCATCCCAAGGAGTTTGGGGGAAGCTCTTCCATCATATCTTGAGTCAAATCCTAACCATTCAAACCAACTCACCCTTTAGCCTGCGAATACATGGACAGTGTAAGAAGTCCCTGTTGGCTTGAATCTCTGACAACAAATGCACCTTCTTTGGACTGAAAAGAAATACAAGTAGAATTATTTTCTGCTTTTGAGCTTGAATAATCCTCCCTTGAAATAGGACTTGCAGCTGATTACCAAATTCTGTGGAATACCTATGACTGTTTGGGAGGGGGATAAAGCAGTGGAGAATGGGAACTGATAGACAGGTAGATAGCAGAGCAAAATTAACCAAGGGAAAATAATAAGTGCCAGGCAATTTCTTGGAGTTAAAAAATTTAGGTGAATTATACTCTTCAGGGTGAAGTAGTGAAAATGCTTTGATTTATTGAAAAAATCAAATTGTTCAAATCACTAGAATGAAATTCTATAAAACAGTTCTGAGATGTTCTTCTCTGGTCTGGCTTGCCCAAGCCCTGTGTTAGTCCTTGAACAAAGACCTAATGAGTTTAACTGAGTTAGGCACTTTGGTAACTGATAGGGGGTAGAACGCAATACGGATTGTTTGCTGTATACATAAGGAAGACGCAGGGGTTTTGTTAATCTCTGCTAACTGCACTAACTTACTACATTGATTGCAGTCTTCAATGTTTCATACAGAAGATAAGCACAGTAAATAGCATGTAATACAATTTATCTAGTGTGGAAAATCTACATAAAATTTGCTTCACAACTTAAAACTCTGTGAAGTCTGGATAGCCTGCACAGTACACTTATCCCAGAAAGCCTTTTTTTTTAAAGTACTCTCTCTCTTACTGCATACCAAACAGATTTGGATTTGCCTGTGGTAACGCTCTTGATGCCTCCACAGACAGATCTTTCTAGATCTTGTTAGCTCTTTGTATAAGCTGAGTTACCTTCTGGCGCAAGAGAAGTTCTGCCTGGCTTCTGTTTATGTTTTTGCAGTACCACCTGCAACAAGGAGATAACCTATTCTTTATTTTCAGCCAGTAAAAATTAATCTTTGCTCTGTTTCACAAAAGTAATCCATCTTAATAGTTGCGCTATTCCCAGTCCAAAAACCCAAATAGAACTATTGTTGTACATAAACATCTCTTAATTTGGAATGACTTTATTAGACCGCTATAAATATGACAACTCTTTTCCCCATTCATCTGTGATTAAATGTGAGCTCCAACAAAAGAAAACCCAGGAAATGGTTATGCTAAACTCTGATGAAATTTACAGTCCTGCTCGCTGCATCAAGCCTCTCTACTCTAGAATTTGCAGAATTTACTCTTCTCTCCAGTAAACTAGGTTGAAGTAATTGGAATTAGTTTCTAGTCAATTAATTACATGTTCACAACAGGAAGAGACCAGAATATAAAAACATTATGTAGTGAGCCTACAGAAATAGGAAACATCTGGTTTCTGATATTCTGATTTATGCAAATGAATGTTGTTGAAGTACTCAGTGTTTGTAACTTCATGTTACACCCTCTGAGCAAATAGTTCTGAATCAAAATGCTCGCTTCATTCTAAGAGTAAGGTTTTGTAACAAAAAAAAGAGCTTTCAATAAACATCTGTCCATGTCTAATAAAGACTGATGGATCAAGCACTAAAATGTATCACTCATCCATTTTTAGAAAAGAAAGCACAATTATCATTTTCAAGGGTACTTACTCATACATTTCTAAATTATTTTTCTTGTTCTCAGTAACATAGTTGCTGGGAATTAGACCTTCATTCCTGAAATGACATATTGAGGACAGTTTAGACTGGATATTAGGAAAAATTTCTTCACCAAAAGGGTTATCAAGCACTGGAACAGGCTGTGCGGGGAAGTGATGGAATCACCATCCCTGGAGGTATTTAAAAGACAAGTAGATGTGGCACTTACAGAGATTGCTTAGTGGTGGACTTGGCAGTGCTAGGTTAACAGTTGGACTCGACAATCTTAAGGGTCTTTTCCAACCTAATTCTATGATTCTGTTATAGTATGGTGTAAAATATTAATAGGACTAAGATATGCATCTTCCTTTGGTTGAATTATAAATGTTAGTTGTACTTGGGTATGTTGTTAGCTACTGAATCCCAACGTGGGAGTTGAAGTCTGACTCCTTTTCATCCCAGGCACAATCTTTCTGCCCCACAACTGTGGATGGCTACTGAAATGAGTAAGTCAGCTGGGATAGGATATTTATAGAGTGCCGAGCATGGCATGTTAATGAAAATTTTCAAGTCAAATCACAAGAAAATTTAGGAAAAAAAATTACATTTCTTCTGAATCAGAAGCCACTCTCCTAATTTTTAACCTTATAACTATATAAAGCTTTTTTGTTGAAGTGTGAAGTGTATAAAGTGTGAAGTGTGTAAAGTGTGTGCTTGCATGTATATACAAAATAATAATCCAGTGGACTCTCACTACGAATATGAGTGGAGAAAAAGCATTTAAAGGAGAAATGTGAATGAAAAGGAGACAGTTATATAATAACATATAACCATTCCCAGCATGACAGTACAGGATACACTGAAGAAAATGCAAAGGAGAAAGGGGAATGACATGAAAAAAACATAAATGTGGAAAGGATCTTAAATGAAGTTATCTACCTCTCCAAAACATCCAGGAATTTTGAATCAGGGATTTTGTTTCAGGCACATGTCTTCATAATCTCTATGGTCTTTATGAAGTGTTTACACATATGCACTGCATTGTAAAGCACTTGAAGTATGGAAAACTAATTTTGCACATGGCTCAGAGCCCAGTGAGTCGCATGGTCCTCAAATGCCCTTATGTTGCTCAGGAAATTACTGAGTCTAGGACTTAACTCTGAATTCCTAACAGATTCTAGATTCTCCACCCATTTCTGGGGTGCCAAACACTACTGAAAGTCTGCCCAGTCAATCTGTGCGCCTCATATACAGCTGAACACCTTCAAAGCTGCCCTTAAATTGTTGCACATGTCTCATTCTATCTATCTGCTTGCTTTCACAGGGGTTGTTTTAGGGTTTATTCTTTCTGTATAGGGAGATTGAAATAGATGCCCACTCTCTTACCCATGTTGGTCTCTTGCCTTCCACCAGTGGGGATCACACTGTTCGAGGATAATGTATTCTTCTGACTTCCTGAGCGGTAAATCTGAGGGTCCTCTAGCAAAAAAGTCATAGAGTGCAATAACTCTGGGTTTTTTTGTGTAGTCTTCCAAGGCCTCAGCAGGTAGAGGAGGTAATGGCTTGTTCTTTAACTGCAATTTCCTCTTATGCTAGTGAAAAAAAAGAGTAACATTCACAGTTAGTCTTTTCTCCCTACTATTGCTTGCTTGATTCCCCCGCTATTATAGCATCTCAGTAGCTAAAAGGAACTTAACTGTGGTCATTACTTCCCCTTACTATCACCTCATCACTTGCAAAACAGCGAGACTCTACATTTGAGTAGTTTGGTGTAGAAGCCAAAATGACAATGGAAAGTTGAAAAATAAACAAACCATCTACCTAATCAGGGTGACTTCTACATGGTATGAATGCTAGGATAACTCCTCAGCTGGTGTAAAAGCAGAGCAGCATTGAAATCAGTGGAGTTACAATGTCTGGAAATTCAGTCATTTTTCTGGAGAATTAACATGGAGGACACTGCAGACTTTCTTAGCAAATCAGAAGGAACATAATAATTTTATTTTGCATCAAGTCAGGTTCTAGCTTTGCACTGGTTATGCTTTGAAAGGTCAGATTATTCAACTTAGATCAAGCAAAACTGAGGTGGATGTTTCACATGCCAGATGAGCAAGGTGAGCTTGCGTCCACCCAACAGGGCAGTCCCACCCTTCCCACTTCCATCACCCAAATCCAGAACTGGGAGAAGGAACCACCTTGTCCATGACAGAGAGCTTGTGAAACCTCACCGTAACCCTGTATTTACATCAGTATGAATCTTTGGATACGTTTATAATTTTTATGCAATTAATCACTTTACATACTCAAGAGTTAGTTACTCCTCTACTTGTTCTGGTACTGAGCCACCATATGGCGCATCACCTCAATCTCTCTTTTCACCTGCCAAAATGTTACTTACCCTGCACTTCCAAGCAGACGCATAGGAAACGTCTGGTTGAGAGGCTGAGTACTGGGTCACCAGACCAGTATCAGGCTCCAGGTTCATTTTCGTTCTCATTGCTCTGGTTTTGAAAAACATGAAGTATTTGTGTCAATACATATCTATAAATATTCACATAAAAATATTAATTCCTGGATATATACATGCCTTCCGTCGTATTAGGGATACGCAGGCATGTTTTTTTTTTTTCTTTAAACCTCTGTACAATTAGCTGCTCTACTGAAAATACAGGGATTTTTAAAAGTCCTTTCTGTGTAAATATTTTGGTCATCCTAATTGCTGAAAAAATTTCACATACCTTTTTTGCACTGTGCAGCAGCAGCAGCAGCAGAAAACAGACTGGATGGTGTGATCTGTGAACAAGAACATTTTCCATATTTGCAGTGTTCCTGTTTACAAAACTCACAGAATTAAGGACTACTGTATGTGTGTAGTCCCATTATTAGCTCTGTCTTGCTCTGAGATATCTAGCAAATCATTAAGGCTGAATTTGCATCCATTAAAGACAGCAAACATTTCCTGCTGCCCCATCTATTTGCTCCCACTGTCTCCCTTACAATATCTTAGCAATTATGAGGCCATGTGGTACGTTAAATCAGCTCACTAACTCAGAAAGAAAAAAAAAAAAAGACCTTGTCAGCCAGATCAGTACCAATCTGACTGAACATCCCATGCAAGCTCTAAACAGTGCAATAAATGGGATGAGAATATCATCAGGGACAGGAGGCAGAAAACTGTCCCCTTTGGTGATGACGTAATTTTTAGATCATTCAAACCAAATTCAAAACCACACTTGCACGACAAGCTTTTTCTTATTGTGACATTTATTAAAGGAGACATGCTACATTCAATTCTTTGAATTAATACGGATTTTCCTGTTTCTGTTGCAGCCATTAATGTAATATATGCATTAGCCCAGGTTTAAAATGCTACCAAAGATGTGCTTTACACCTATATGCCAAGTGATTGATTATGCTGAGAAAGACACATTAGACACATCATCACATATATCATACATTTACAGAGAAATCCATCTAGTATATCTTGTATGAACAGCAGAGAGGATATGGTATTAAATAGGTCGGAAGGCATTAAGAAGATTTGAATGAGGTAAAGAAATGGTTGACATCCGCTCTGGTCCACTTCTACTCTGGCTGAGACCTATTTCCCCCAACTTGTGTTCCCACAGCAGGTTAAGCCAAGCTGTGGCAGCTATGGTCCCGTCACCTTTCCCTCTGCACTGCTGCTCATCTCATCTCAAAAAGAGCAAGACGGGATGCTAAACCAGTGGGGAATTGCTCTCTGCTGGGTCGGCTCCCTAAACCATCTCACCGTCATCCATGGCTGGTGGGCAGGTGGGAGGGTAGCAGCACCAGCGGGCCAGGCTCAGGCTCTTGGGTCCAATGTATGCTCTTCTAGGAAGCATGAGTGCCAGGCATGCAGAGACAAGGCTCCAGTCATATTCAGCTGCACTTACAGAAAATAAACTTTATATCCCACTCCAATGAGTCCTGAGTTTTCTCTGCCACACAGGTCATAGTACAAAAAGAGGCCTCAGAAAGATATTTGAAATAGAATATCTGGGGTCTCAGTATTTTGTTGTTTTACCTTTCACAAGGTATGTCTTTCTCCCATCAGTCCCTTCTACTTTATTTGGTTTTCTCTCATGGCGTTTTTGGCTTGTCATTGTCCTAATGACTTAATCCATCCTGGAATAAAGAGGATGTCCCTTCTGGTTTGCCAATGCCTATTGCCAACGTTTCAGCCAAGTATGCTGAGCACTCAAAGTGTCCTAGCACTCAAAAAATTAAGCAACCTTACTACATGATTAAAATGTAATTATTTTCTCTATGAAGGTACTTAATCTAGCAAATCTTGTACTAATAAAAGAAGGGACAATGTCAGAAAGATAAGACCAACACTAGTTCTTGGCTGGAAGAGGAAGAGACCTGCCTCATATGTGTTTTGGTTAGAGTATTTATCTTGCAAGTTATGGGGCAATTTCCCTTAGACTGTTGCATCCTGTGAAGAACCCTGTGTGGGAAGCTGGCGAGACAACATTAATCAGAAGACGCTATCAACTGTTTGATAAAAGTTTCCACTGACAAATATGCAAAATGCAGCGATTACACGTAGCCAAGCCAGCTGACACTGACAATTTTCTTTAAGGAAAGCAGGCTGAAAAAATACAGGCAATGTAATTTATTTACTGCATAATTTTCCAGCATACGTTGAAAATCCACAGTGTACTGTTTAAAATTATAGTGGCTGAAGTTTGCCTGAACATTATTTCCCTAGCATTATTTTACTACAGGTTTGAGAATGTTAATGTTCTAGGTAATAACAAGCTTGGAATGAAAATCACTTTTTAAAAGTCAGCTGGGAATTATTTCTGGTTTATTACCATTGCTTTTTTTGTTACCCCAAAAACCCCATAAATTCAAGAGTAAAGTAGTGTCACGGTGTTAAGAAGTGAGTGCCTCTAAAGTAGTATTAGTTAGTGCCTTGGAAGCATAATGCATGACAGCGTGGTCTTGCAGGTACTGTCTTTTGAGGAAGTTATGGCAATTTCATTAGAAAAAGGGTTGTTTAAAATTACATGTTACTTACCAAACATTACCATATATCTCGGGAAGGAATTGTGCTTGTCCCCTGACCTAGACTGCATTAGGCTCTTGTCTTTTTATAATCACCTCTGTGTTTCATGAACTGTGAACACCATGGGTGAAAAAACTCTTGGGTTTCTTTTACTTCAGCCACTGCCGTGAAGTTCAATTGTTATTTATAAAGGATTTAATGATGTTCAGAAAGGAATATGACATTTGAAACTTGTCTACTTCTTCTGATTAAACCATGTAGTCAAATTAAATATATTATTCCTCATTAGACAACTTGCTCTCCTTATAGAACACTTACCAGAAATATTTAGAAGCAGCACTGCAGAGTTTCAATGTGACGTAAGAATGATCTTCCAATAAGATATTAAAAATTTGGCTGTTAGCACAAAAGCGAGTGGCTCAGACCAATGATATGGACATGTCATTCTGTCTTGCTTTTCTGTATGAGCCCAGCGATTTGAATAAATTTATAGCATAACTCAGGAATCCTTTTTGCCTTCAATGAATTTCAGACTTACTCTGTTAATGGATGCTTTCTGTGTTTGACCTCCCCTTTACTGTACTAAAAGCGATTAGCAATAAATGAATGTATGTGATGTTTTTTAAAACATCCCCACAATATATGCTATTAAGTATTTTGTCTCTGTTGATAGAACCACAGAAAAGGTATAAATTAAAGCTTTAATTACAGTGCTTTCTGGGACACATGCTTCATTTGGTGAGCAATTTTTCGAAGGCTAGAGTGTCTACCCTATTAAAGATCACAAAATCTGACCCAGTTCTGCAGGCAAAAAGTGAAAGCTCAGATTAGACTAAGGCCATGGGCCAGATAAACCCATGCTGAACTGAACTGCTGGGTCCTGCGGAGCAGCACAATCTTTGCACAGTTCTGCAAAGTTTGCTTCTCCTCATTCTCCTTATTGGAGTATTTTAACTGTCAAATCACGGCCCATCAATCCAGCAGATACTTATCATTCTAAAGAAGAGCATTTTCAGCTCTTTGAAAACAAACCTGTCTTTACACAACTGTCCTTGGCAACTTCATCACTTCTGAAATTCTTTTGTCCATGCATTGCTCCTAGAGCACTTGTGGAATTAACTCAGTAGAAATTAATAAAAGCAAATTATAGCAGTGCAAACTGTTACATTTCCTTTTGGAAATGTGTCAAGTCTGCTGGGAAACATCAAGGAACATAGACAGAGAAAGGCCTTCAGCTCCATAAAGCCAAGTCCTGCTTTAGTTAAATTAAATTAAGTCAGGAAGGTTTGACCCGATGAACTGGAATTTCAGTATCTCAAGACCTGTGTAGTGATTTATGCATTTTACATCCTTCCTAATCACTGGTAAGATTCTCACACAACACTTTTTGTCCCCTTGATTAAAATCATATTTTTTGAGTTCATAACTCACTACAGAAAGGCCAAAGCTGCTCTAGGATGCTGTTTTAGAAAGACTTGGCCAACATTGCAAACGGTGAAAGCTCTGACACACTGAATGAATGATTTGATTAAACTGGTTCATGTCTTGACCTTCTACTAGTGGGTGAGGAAGATGTTTACGCCGAGGGCTGCCTCCAGGTGCCATAGCAATGCTCACTGCAGTGCTACAGGAAGCCTGCGTTTCCTGCCTGAAGCTTCTCACAGCTACACACACCCTCCTGAGACTCGGGCTCTTCCTTCCTTTCTCTTTTCTTCTATTCAACAGCCATGAGACAAACTAAGAAATAATAATAATGAATTTTTAAACCCTGTATTTTAATGCAAAAAAAAAAAAAATTGCTCTCTTTTAAAAGACAAATAAGAATTGAAAATAGATTCTTAGAATTCACTCATTGTTTTCAGTATTTCTTCTTGACTTTCCTTTCTGCTGCACCCTAACTCAAATCACTGAAACAAATGGAACTATTCTATCTGATTTCCTTCACTTCTGGACCTTTTCTTAAGCAAAACACTCCAGATTTGTCAAAGGGTATTAGAGTCATGTACGTATTAGCAGGCCTTGAGACCTTGGTCCCTAACTCAACCACACTGAAGAGTTCATAAATTAAAAATTAATCAGTGATGGTATCGATGAGAGTTGTGCTTCAGCAAGGAAATAATTTGGATTCCCCGAATTCTTCCATATTTCAAAGAGACATCAATAGAATTTATTATGAACAACAAACTGCTTGAACAGGACACAGGAAAGAAATATAGGTTAATAGAAAGAACTATCTGATAGTTTTTAACACTTAATTATTTCTGAAGTCTGTTAAATAAAGTACTTATGGACCTATCATTACTTTCAGGCCCCACTGCTTCATTTCCTACATAACCAAAAATTTTCCCAAAACTTCCAGAAAAAATGGTCGAAGCTTGCTGCTTTTAAATCCACAGGAAGGAAGCTTCCTCCAGCATCCACAGCCCCACTGGACCTCTCAGCCCCCATTTCCCTGAGTTCTGTCAAAACATAAGGTACCAGAACACATTTTGCTTTGAGTGAGTTATCATGGAGCAATTAAAATCAGTAGTTTAAAACTTAAGTTTAAATCAAACTAGATGAGTATTTGAGCTGTTGAATTTAGAATTTGCCAAATCCTCCTCCTTCAATTGTATGGAGAATTTAATTTCTTCAATTTCTGATGAAAGCTTGCAACCTCAAAGTTCAGCCAATTCTACAAATAAAACCACAGCCTATTTCACTGCTCATGTCTTTTTCTTTCTGGAAATTACTATATTAGGAGGAAGATGCTTGTTTTTAAAACAGTGTCA